AGTTTCACGACTACATGTAATCAAATTGAAAGCAGCCAAGCTGAGGATTCAAGAGCAGACGAGAGCAGAAGAAGGGGCAAAGGTTCAAAGAAACAAGCGGCAAAGTGCGACTCGTTTGAGCCAGAGGAAGAGCGGTGATTGTGATTGACACTTGTGGTTAACAAATATTTTGCTGTGATTCAGTGCGCCCACGCTTGACAAATTAAAAATTTGGCAGAGACAAATTTTGTTGAGATTTTTGGAAGGGCCAAACAAATTTTGTCAGTCCAGTGTGTCCGGACCCTATGTTTGTCTTTCACTTGTGAGAATATTGATGTTGTCATGGTTACAGGCATGTATGATTTTTCTTTCAACATCATTGAAGTTGAATTTGACTTCTTTGACATAGAAAATAACATTTCCTTTTGCAGCACATACTAGCGCATACTTAATCTTTGCATTTAATTAAAATTGGTTGTGATATTAATTAACCATTTTCAGTTACATTTTCATTTTCAGTTGCCAGTCGCAGATAAGGCGTGGCAACTGTTTTCAGCGTCTTTTTTCAGGGTTTTTAAATGAAAAAAAAAAAAAAACTGGAATGTCTGAGACTTGGATGTTTCATCAATATCTATATAATAAACAGAACATTGTTGCAAATTTTATCTTTTTGTTTGTGTGCACACTTATCAGGACAACTAGATAGAGTAAAGGAACATCTTTCAAGGAATTTGTCAGCTGTTCATGAACATTGCCAGCTCACGGGACATTCAGTGGATTCTAGCAAAACAAAAGTTCTTGCCATGGAAAGTAACACATTCAAATGCCGTATAAGGGAGGCAATTGAGATCTGATTTCAAAAGCCTGCATTCAGAGACAATGGCTTCAAATTAGCCAACATCTATGACACCATTTTAGCCCCCCTGAGGTCATAATAAATATCGCATAACCTTTCTAAATAATACTCATAAAATCTTCATTGTGGCTGACGAAGTTCGGTGGAACCGAACAAAATAGCCCACTTTTAATAAGATTTGTTATTGCGCTCAGTGAGTACAGAAATTAATTTCATAATTTGATCATGATTCCAGAGCAGAAACACAATATTTTTGATTCAATCTTTGCATTATTCTTTGACAACGTTGGAAATCATCAGAAGTCTTTTGTTAATCTTTGGAAATCTTTGGATAATTTACTGTTCAGAAAACTTCACTTGACCCCCAGAAGTCTTTGGCTGTTCGTCAGAAATCTTTGGAAGACTTCTAATGATCTTCCATTTTCTTTGCAAGGCCAGGGCAGGAAAAAATCCAGGTCTGATTGCCCAGGGCAAGTAAA